GAAGTATATTGCTGTTGTCCTGTTTTTTGTAGTCAGGTCATCCCACGTCAACCGAGGAAGGCTTCATCACTTTGTCACAGCCATCTGGTTCATTTTTACGAGAGCTTTCCATTGCCGTTTTCTCCATGTCTTTAGCTTGTTTTGTTTCGGAGATGTGAGGACGGCCTGTGATGTGGTCGGCCCCGTGCGAGTGAAAAACATGCGTAGTGTGAGGGCTAATGAGAAGCTCTTTCCATGGAATGTATTTGTTTTTCCAGTCCGTACCTATGCAGTTGAGCGGCTGCTTCGCTTTTCAAAGTTGATATGGCCGCTGTCACGCCTGTCATGCCATATTCTCTGTCCTTCATGGTTTGTAAATCGTTTCAGCTGTTAAGTGCATTTGTGAGGAACATTATGCATATAGATAAGACAGCACTGTTGTCGCCATAGGATAACCAGGAGAAAGGATAGATGCAATGATATTTCGGGTACTTGTATTTATCGAAACTAATATGAGTAATGCATTCAACATGCAAAGTTGCCTTTCGATCACACTCGATTTTTCCTTTTAATAGCGAGCAACAGCTTTTACAAGTCACCAACATTTAGGGGATTAAAAGATGAGCAATTGGCAGCCATTGATACGATACGGTGTGTATCCAACTAAGTATTAAAGAGAATGCTCCTCATTTGCATGGGGTTTTGAACCGAAATAGCGATCTTGAAGATCATTTGCAAAGCCTTTACACTTTGTTTATGCTATGGTATAAAGAAACTACGATGCCCTTACACTTACCGCTATATTCAACCGTTATATCATCATTTTTACTAAGGTCTCTGACAAGCTGATCTGTAGTGACATTTAGTTTGTCCACTTTATGGTTTTTGAAAGCTTGAAAATTCTGCTGAAGGTGATACCAGGATCTCCTGAGACTTCTGCCGTCCAAAGGTAAAACTCCACATGTCCATTTCTGGCCATTTTGCGTTTTTTATGTCATCTGATCCGTCTCCTCATCATAAATTCAGATTGTTAAACCAATGATTCATATTTGCACGCGCTTTTAGTTAAAATAATGCGTTAAAAGCTTGTGAAAATTTGGACCGATGGTTTTAATGACCAAATCTAGCATGAGTAGACGCATCAGAAGACATTAAAAACCAAAAACGGCCAAGAATTAACACATGGGGTTTTACCTTTGGACGGCATATCTACAAACATCGTAAGTCTTGCAATGTGTTGTAGATATCAGAAGGCCTTCGGTTTTCTGGAATCTGGCCACGTTCTGAGATCCAGGTTCTTTTTAGGTTTTGCTGAAGAATGCTCTTGTGTCTGAGATGTTTTTGATGTGTACCAAGAATTTTCTAAGATCTGGGTTCGTTAAACAAAAAGTTGCTTAAGAGTTTTGAAAGGTTTGGGATCCTGTTTGAAACATTGTGGAAGCGTGTTTTGTGATTTAGGATTTTCATGGGATCCAGGGACACGTCTGCCTTGTCGTTGCCCATTTCTCCCCCTCTCCGCTTGAGTGGTGTACGATCACTCTTGACCCCCGACGCTCCGGCAGGGGTCAGCTGCGTCCCCCGAGGCCTGACCAGCTGTGCCCTGGTGCCGGCTGGGCCATGTTTAACGACCTGGGCGTGTACGGCGTGCCGGGACCGGTGCGACGCAAGCAACGATACGATGCGGTTCGCCAGATGCGCGCCATGGAGAAGTCAGTCACTGCTGGCGAACGGGAGCTTCGCCGGCACAACGCGCTTATAAGAACCGCGAACGTTTTGAAGTTTTCCTTGTGTATAATATGGTACCCGGTTGTGACAAAAGTGTTTTCATGCCAGCATATGTGGGAGCCAGCAATTTTCTTTCTTTATTGTTTCGACGCCTTACCAATCTGACTGGGTCAGTTATTTTATTGACATGCTCATGAGCGCAAATGAAATATCTTGTGGAATTGCAACTCGGGTGTTCCCTACAGCATAAGAGCTATACGTCTGCGTGTCACATGCCCAGGTGATCCCCTGTGCTCGTCTGATAGCCAACTGTCCGTGCCCTGCAGGTTTTGCCGGGATGTTGGCGGCTACCCTTTCCTTTACGCCGACATCTTCATGTCGCGGAAGGAGTTCGAGGAGATGTTTGACCTGACCGCTTACGAGCGCGTTAGGGACAAATATCACGCCAACGGTGCCTTCCCTCACCTGTACGACAAGGTATCTACCAATCGGATGATGCTCATAGCCAATATTCATGATAATAAACTGGCTGTACCTATAATCCGCCATGAGAAATATCGCGTTTTTGTTTTAACGTGCTAGGTATTTTGCGTTATTGTCTTGAGTATTTTGTCATCATTCAGTGATGTTTTAAGTTCTTTGAACTGCGAAAGTTTCGTTATTCTGTCGCAATGGCTTACTGAATAATTAAAGCAAATCGACCAAATATTAGCATCCAAGAACCTCACGAATTTACCAGCCGCCGAAGTTCGGAAAAACCATGGCTGGTTGGAGCCGATCACAAAATGACAGCCGGCTAAACCGAATGAGGGAATCGTCTGATAATGAACTTCAAAACAACACTAGCCGCGCCGAACATGTCCAGCGCGAATGCTGCATTGCAGCACGCACTTCGCTTTTCGGCTACCGTACGGAGATTTCCGTGGTGGCGCTAAATAGTGGCGCGTACCAACTCACGCTCTGTATTCCCGGGGCCGCACACATCCAACTCACGCTCTGTATTCCCGAGGCCGCACACATCCAACTCACGCTCTGTATTCCCGGGGCCGCACACATCCAACTCACGCTCTGTATTCCCGAGGCCGCACACATCCAACTCACGCTCTGTATTCCCGAGGCCGCACACATCCAACTCACGCTCTGTATTCCCGAGGCCGCACACATCCAACTCACGCTCTGTATTCCCGAGGCCGCACACATCCAACTCACGCTCTGTATTCCCGGGGCCGCACACATCCAACAACGGCTGAAGCTACATATCATCGACCTGGCGTCGATTATCGAAATCTGGTTTCGGCCATCGACGCTCAACAAAATGGTCGGGACGCCCGGCGACAGCATTTCCCGCCAAAGCAGAGCGCGGGAACGTATTGGAGGGGCGTAGTTTTTAGTCAAAGGCCTCCGACTCGCTTGTTTTGAAACGAAGTTGGGTCATATGCGGAGAGTGCTCCGTTTTTAGTGCATTTTATGGATAAGATTGGCCATTTTGCTCAGCCCCCGTCCCTCCCCCACCAAACCTACCTTGCGAAACTGCACCCCTGTGATGGAGGCTTAACGACTGGGACACGCTATGCATTTGCTACCACGTTATAAACATCCAGCCCACAGTGCGTCATAGTTAGGAGGCAAGGGGATCAAAATCGATGTCAAGTGATCTGCAGCGCACACCAACAACATGATGCACCGCAGTAAACCAGGATTTCGACCTTATATCGAAATATAATTTACATACGTAGCAGTGGAAGTACACTTTCTTTGCATATTAGGTCTTATTCGTGGGGGCAGCCTTAGAGGGCTGGGACCCCCGGTGCGCTGACTTTGCAGTGAATAGGTAGGTCCATGTCGCGTATGTATGCAGTCTCGAGCACATGTAATCGTCTCACACCGTGGCATCTGCCTGCGGTAGCGGTGCTATCTACCAGTTGTTGTATGGGGGGTCGCCGGTCATGGTGGGATTTCGCATGTGTTTTTGGGCCGCCGCCCTGGATGTACAATGTGGTGCGTCTATTGTGTGAGGTGGTAGCCATTCCAATGCAATTACAGCTCAGGTGGAGCGGCCCATCTTCGAAAGGGTACTCGTAACTCTACATTACAGTGGATTGCTTCAGTAGAGCTGTCCCACCAGTCAGGCTTTCAAAAGCATGTGTCATGAGATTTTAGTAAAAGATAGCTAGCCGCATCTGCGGCTGGTCCCCTGGTGGCGCTTACCTGCAGCGTCTGCTGATGATTGATCGTGCGAGCTTTCCATCGGCTTTGTACGCCTGCGACATGTTATTCTTGCAGTGCAGTGTGTGGACTGTAACGGCCAGAGCAGTACAGTGTGTGGACTGTAACGGCCAGAGCAGTACAGTGTGTGGACTGCAACGGCCAGGGCAGTACAGTGTGTGGACCGTAACGGCCAGGGCAGTACAGTGTGTGGACTGTAACGTCCAGAGCAGTACAGTGTGTGGACTGTAACGTCCAGAGCAGTACAGTGTGTGGACTGTAACGGCCAGGGCAGTACAGTGTGTGGACTGTAACGTCCAGAGCAGTGACGGTGCGGGCCACGTAGACTAGATCAAGGCTATCTTGCGCGATGGAACGGTCCGGTCTGAAAAGAGTGGCAACAGACACGTCGAGGCTTAAATAAGTCAGTCAGCTGTTCACGGTATTTTGATGACTTAAGATGACGCAAGTGGAAAGGTCAAGTGATAGATACCATGTCGACGTGGGGCAGATGCCGCAGTAAAAAAACAGCTTATACTCATTGGACCCCATCAGACCGTACCTCTTTGGGACAATTCGTTTCCAGACCCCCATTTGAGTGACCCTGGGCAAAGCATTTCCTGCCCTTATTCGCCGTTTTCCATAGCGCGAAGTGTTGGTGGAGGGGACAATGCGATCCCTCCGCCATTCCGAAACTAATAAAGGTGGAGCTTAGCGGGAAAAAGCAGTGGATTGGTCTCGACGAAATCTTACAATTGGTATCACACTTCACGTTGCTAGGTCAATGCTTGATCCCATTATTTAGAAGATTAGGTTGCTGGGCCGCCCCTTCAGGTAATTTATACAATTTATACAATGCCACACCCATTTCTTCCCTGGGATGTATTTTGCAAGGCATCGTTTTTCATTTTAATTTAGAGCTCCCTTTTTTAGGCGAGGGCCATCATACGTAAACACAGTGCATGCTTTCTGCTTATAAAATGCTGATGCTTCCGATAATCTGGCATTCAAAGGGTCTGTTATGGTTATTTCATGGAGACCATAAGCATGTCTCTGTTCTAAGTTCTTAATGCGCTCAGGGGATGTGCGGCACTGGTGATCTTCCTTGCGCCCTGCGACTTGTCGCGCTGTAACCGTGACCCTCGACGCGCTGTGACCGTGACCCTTGTCGCGCTGTGACCGTGACCCTTGTCGCGCTGTAACCGTGACCCTTGTCGTGCTGTGACCGTGACCCTTGTCGCGCTGTGACCGTGACCCTTGTCGCGCTGTAACCGTGACCCTTGTCGTGCTGTGACCCTTGTCGCGCTGTGACCGTGACCCTCGACGAGCTGTGACCGTGACCCTCTTTTGTCGTCAGGTGAAGCCCGAGATTGACGTGGTGGCAGTCGGGGAGGAGTACATAGACCCGCTGTAGAGTCTCGCCCCCCGAACTCCGCTGCGCCGTCTGCAGTATGCCGTTCACCATCGTGCCACGACACCTGCCGTTGAATCACGTCTAAGAGTGACATGTGCCGCGTTTACCAAGCTGTCTGATGGCGACCGACCTGTTACATCTGAAGCACGCGTGCTGGTGCAGTATGTGCTGGCACTGATGCGTGCCACCCAGTGGCACGTGTTTGGGGACGGCATGTGCTGACGCGTCATTCGAGAGTGTGCATCAAGTTGGCTGGTAGCATCAAGCCTTTTGTGACGGGTACCACTCCTGCAGCTTTCGTCAATATATGGACGGATGGTCACCACGTTCCACCACTCTACCACTCAAATGTGGTATCCAGCTTTAACCCACGCTCGGGTGAAGTGGAGGGAGAGGGGGCAGCTTCTCTCAAAATGTTACGTTTCTTCAGAATTACATCTGAACGGCGCCGCGAAGCCGCGCTGGCAGTTGAATAACCGATCGTTTCGTGCAGCAAATGTAATGTAACCTGTATGGCTGCCGACCTAATGCGGCTCAAAGTCAGGCCAGGCTTCACAGCGCAGACGGATCCTAAGGAATGGTTCAATCTGATGTCAAACAATTTCAAATCCTGCCACCCCACAGGCCAGGTGGCGTGCAGGGCCAGACAGTAAAGTATCGTTTAGGTGTTCAGATCTGGCGTCCGCGATCGCGTTTCCCCAAACATGATGGACGTCAATGGACTCTCAAACATCGCTGAGCAAACCGTGCAAGTCTCAATCACGTAGCACATTTTGTGCTACAACATACACTGCTTGTAGTTGCCCATAAAATATGGGTACTTATGGGTTTATTCAGTCAGTGAAGTTCTGTAGTCCACAACAACTTGTTTCCCATTCCTAATCAGTTCTACCAACACCTTACTCGTCCGTTTGATTTTGTTTGCCGTGCGTAACCTCTACATTATGAGAATGGTTCAGGGAAGTTTTCGCTCATCCCGATAACTCTGTTGGACTGAGCGACCACCTCCTGGTTCATCCATCAGTGGCGAGTTGGGTTTAAGTTGGGTTGGGCGAGGCGCCTTAAGCAGTTGCCGTTTGCCTATGACCAGTATGTGCCGCGGCATGTGACAGCAGCGGCGCTCACGTTCAGATGACGTAAGAAGGCAGGGCTGAGCGAGCCGAATATTGAGGCACGTAAAGTTTCCTTCGCAGAATTCTGCTGGTGACCTGGATTTCTATGATCGGACAGTGAGGCAGCGCTCTCGCAACGAGCACTGCTTAATGCGGACACTGATCTCAGAAGTGCATCTTAATATAAGGCTCATACTCAATCATAAAAATGAAACCAATATGTGTACCCAATTTGCACGCAAAATTGCTGTTAACCGTTCATAATCGCAAAAGTAATGAGCATGGCGCTGATAAGGATCAAAACAAGCCCACGCAGGAGGATTGTGTAGTAGTTATTTGGGGCATCTAAATGGCGTTTCGTAAAAGTCTCACCCGCACTCGTGTCCATATCCGTAACTCTCCCAACGTTTGAACAAACCCAAACGGCTACTTATTCCACATGGGCTTATTCCATATGGATATATGGGTCATCCATCCCACGGATTTTTCAAATCCGTGAAGCTCCTGTTGTAGCGCACCCCTATTCAGAGCTGTCTGCCAGAACAATAACTCGTTTTTTCATGAGCTTTGCACGATAAGAATCAACACTAAGGAATGCATTAAAATGAATTTTGCTTGAAAAACTTACTCCCTCATGCAGGATCTTCTAGCTTCCATCTAGACATATCAGACGCAAAGTTCCTGGCCTTAGTTTTTTCACCAGGTATAGCATTACTTGGTCTGTTTGCGCGCACACTTCTATTTTGTGGCCAGATATGTGGCATAACACTACAAATACGCCATCCATTTTGAGCCATATTCGGCAACAAAACCGCACCTGAGGAGTTCCATACGACCAACACGATGCCGAATGCGAAATGACATCCAAACCACATGTCTACAAAAATCCGCTGCAATCAGTCAATGGTCGTGACAAGTTGAAAAGTGAAAAATTCTACGCAAATATGACGTGACCTATGATGACCTGATCTTGTGAAAACATGTTTTATGCTAGATATAGACAATAAACGTTGAATAGTTAAGAAAAAGAGTAGTGATAAAGAAACTCAGTGCCTGCATCTTTGTCCCTCATGCATGTATACAAGAAGACACCATTCCGGAAAATTTTCAAAAACACTCTTCATCTGATCTAAGTCAACCAGCTTGGGCTTATTAATAAAATGGTTATCAAATGTAAGCGGAACTCCTGTATACCGCCGTGGCACCTTTACATTGTTCCAGCAATGACCGCGCATTTGGAAGCAAACTTACACAGCTTAGGCAGCTTTTTTCGTAAAAGGAAACTGCGGAAATTTTTACTTTGACAGCGACCCCAGCATTATTCATCACGCCGATTTTGGTACCGATGAGCCCAGAATAACAAATCAGCGAGAAAAATTTTCACCACATCTATGAATTTTCTAACTCGATGCAAAGTGGCAACCGTAATGAATTGCCATTTCAGCCAATGCCCTCCTGCCATAAGATTTGAATCCGAACCGAAGCCAGTGACTCCAAACTTTGAGTGGATCGCAAGCCAGCGGCTTCGAATGTGAGAAACACGAACCCCGAGCCGACCAACAGTTTAATATTACGCGGCCGGAGCCGAAGCCGAACGTAGTGTAGTCTAGTCGCGACTGCAGTGAAAAGTCAACATGACAAAGCCGAAAACACCAGTTCAAAATCGCAGGCCACCGAAGCTAGCAGGGGCGCAAGCATGGGAGGTCAGGTTTTAATCAGGCCATGATTAAAACAACGTTCGAAGCAGAAATTGATGCCAAGTGTTGAGAATGACAAGTTCGAAGCCAGTCATGAAAAATGTCACAAGTCTGAGTGAAACCCGAAGCCATTCATGGAAAACTGCGGGTTGGCAAAGCCGAAAAGCATGCTTTGTTCCCATGACTTGCTCATTACAGCGCAATCTATTATCCCTTGACAATGTAAATGTATATATTGATCGTAGCATAAAGCGCGTGCATAGCGCATACATTTTATTGCTATCACTTAATTAAGATACAACCGCTTCAAAATCGCCTGGTCCTCAGGTAAATTTGAAAGCATTTCAGGGTAGAAAGGAAATCTCTACCAGCATAAAAATTTTCGGCAACCCCTTAAAGCTCAAGTGCAACAAATGATGCAGGGCTTGCGATTGGTAACAAACTTGGTATGGACCAGGTGAGGACTCCGACGTTTTCCGCTACGATTGCTACATATCTCAAATCGTGAAAACTCTCGTGAAGACCTTAAGTGTGGGGATTGTACGGAACAAACTGGGGGGGGGGGGGGGGGGGCGGCGGCTTTATATCCAGTGGAATGCACGGGCACTCAGTGTGCGCACCTGGCTGCGGGCCTGTATATCGGATAGCCACATTTTAGGAAGAGAATTCCCTGCATTGGGATAACGATGCCTTTTGCTGGATTTCGTAGCCCCTTAATGTGTCGAAAGGATTCTGTTCTGAATCAGGGGGCCCTTCTATGCACCAAAAAGCTCTTTTCTGGCACGGGAAGCCTTGCTGTTTTTTTTTGGGGGGGGGGGAGGTGGGAAGCCCTTCCCTGGATCAAGAGGACACCAGTATTAATCAGAGGATTCTCAGTCTGGATCTTTAACGTCGGTATTTCTTTGCATGGATATTGATGCATGTAGGAATTCGATACAGGAGCACGTGGTTCCTTGGCCCCTCCATTTGAACACAGTACCATCCGGGGGCCCCCAGTGAGAAGGTTCCTTTCTGTCCAGGAGCCCCTCGGAAAATTCTGCCCTCCCGTCCACTTCAAAATGCGAATCGCCACCCCTTCTTGTGGTCGCGATGGTATGAAGCTTCATATTGTCAAGGTTTACATACCAGTTTTTAAGCCTACCAGTTTTTATAACACGTTCGAACGGGAGCGGGTGAGGGTCACTTTCCATTTAGACGCACAACAGCTTTGGAACAGCATTGCCTAGAAGTACAGGGGCTGCAAGGCCTGTTCATGGAAACGAGCTGGGAAAATAGTTCTGAACAGGAGGTTATACACCTAAGCGCATTTAGGGAACGTTTGAGGGCCATTTTCTTCATAACCATTCCCTAAATTGATGCGTGGAGGAGAGCTTCTGGATTCTTCAACATTAACTGCCAGCATACATTTTTTAATGAAAGTTTTGGTATTTCGAGAATGTGCATGTAAACAGTCACATGTATTGTGGGCACTCTATTCTTGTGGATACGTCAGTATGTCAAAAAACAAATCACAAATTACTTAAGCACATAATGTTAAATCATACGCAAATTCTCCATTTAATTATGCAGGAAACATGCACCACTTCTGCTTCACACGTCATGTGTGTTCATCAGAACCTGATCTAAACTGGTAGGTTCCCATACGTGATTTCTGTGGATACGCTTATGAGCTTCAAAAACAAGTGGTAGATGTAAATGTACATTTATTTATTTATGTATTTATTTATTTATTTATTTATTTATTTATTTATTTATTTATTTATTTATTTATTTAGAGAGAGAGAGAGAGAGAGAGAGAGAGAGAGAGAGAGAGAGAGAGAGAGAGAGAGAGAGAGAGAGAGAGAGAGAGAGAGAGAGATAGAGAGAGAGAGAGA